ATTTTATCTTGCAATGTGGATTAATTCTAATTTTGTTAACAAATTTCATGGCTATAATTACTTATAACAATGTCTTGTTATGATAGCTCCATGAAACCTACCATGAATGAATTTGTTCATACTTTGACATGTAGAGGAGAAAAGGATGGTTAGGTCTCATGCAAATAACTTTAGATTATCTATTCAGAACTTTATTACTTTCCATTAGCAGTTGACCAGTTCTGCACATCTTTAAATTCTTCCTTACTACTGCATAATAATCTCACTTCAAACTTCTGCTTCTCACAATCAAACTTAGGATTAAACACCAATGTCATCAATTGAATTCATACAATTAATTTCACAAATATTTCTCTTCAACATTTCATTTAAATTTTAATTTTTAACTCCAATCTTCTCCTTTCTCTCCTTTGTAGTGCCAACAAAATCAACAAAAGAATCCACTTTGTTTTTAAATAACTCATCATCCTCATAAATCTCATAATCATTATCTACAAATTATTCACTATCATCTAATAAGTTATACTGTAATCCTCATCCTAGTCATCATTATGATAACAACTCCGCTCATCTTCTTCTACAACCTTATCATCAACATATGATAAATTAATAGTAGTAGGTTTAGACAAACCATTAGTTGCAAGAATTGGAGTCACCAAGCTACTCGAAAACTATTGCATATGATCCATCATTTCCTGTTTGATGGCTAAAACACATTGAGCAATACACGATCATAAACATACTCACCTACAAACTTCAAGGGTGGCAAACAAAATAAATAGAAGTCCCTTCTTATCAATGAAAAAAACCAATAAAACAACACACCCTCCAAAAACATTCATGTTGATAGTCGATGGCACTTCTCTCAATCACCTTGAATGATTTCAAGCTATATTGCACGCAAAAAATTAATAGGAATGCAAATAAACTTCAATGAAAAAAAAAAAGAAACATAACACAACACAAATGCCAAAGGATCCACAACATTATTAAAAGAAATCTATTCTTCATCTATTTTTTCTTGATTCTCTCAAAATTGGGACAAACCTTCTCCAACCGCACGCCCAAAATAACCTTCGGTTGGCAGCTTGTTCATCATAGAACAGTGAAAGAAACCATTAGCCTCCTCTAGTTGAATAAAATACAAATAAATAAAGAAGTGTTTCTATGGAAAGAACTCACAAAAACCCTCATCATATCCTCATCGATCTCGCAACAGGTGACATTTGTGGAAAGAACATGGATTTTTGGAAATAACATGATCTCCATCTCCACATGAACCTCGCAGCGCCGCTTGTGAGCCCTTCGTCTTGCAACGCCGCTTGCAGTCCCTTCATCTCACAATACCGCTCACATCATCGGTCTTGTAGCAACACCATTTCTCACACAACCGCTTGCATTCTTCGTCTCCTCATCGATCATGCATTCGTCATTTAGTGTCGCTCACAATCTTTGGCAATCTTGCAGTAGCATGTCATTAGTGCTAACAGAGATTCCTCATTACGTCTCCAGCAAATTTGCGTGGGAATATAGCGTGAAGGCAAACTATTTAGGAAAAGAAAGCCATTTTACTAAAATACACCAAGAAAAACGAGCACTTGTGCCATCTTTTAAAATTCATGAAAAATCTAACATAGGGGCTAAATTGGAACATTTTCTAATAGTCGGGAAAGTATATAGAGTCATTGTGGAATTTGAGATGAAATTGGACAGACTTAAAGTCGAGGGTTTATTTTAGGCTTTTACTTATAAAGGATAGCATTACACTTGGAGCAAACTACCCATCGTCTACACCAATTTGCAAAGGATAAAAAAACTTAAAGTTTGACAAAAATACTCAAAGACGTAATTTCATATCAAATATATCTATATGAACACATTTAAAAATCTTACCACATTAAAGCTGTTACATGTGCCCTCTAATCAAAACATGACAACAACATTATTTTATGATTACAACAAATGCTTCAATGTTTCCCAATGGTTGAGTTTATGAGCTACAAGTCATGATGATGAGGACATCGAAGATCGACGGCCACGATCATGAGCTGTATTTTTTTTTGTCATTTTATGTAGTAGTTTATTTGATTTTATGTTTTTCCGTTTTTGCCCTTATAGGAAGTTAGTCGCTATTATAGCCCAAGGGGCATTTTAGACTTTTGTTTTCTTTGTCATTTGAAAGCCTATATATGGCTCTTTTCTTATGTAATAGTTAGTTTTTGATGAAATGAAATTTACTACTTGTTCTCTTTGTGAGTGCACTTCTCCTAGATCTCTTAGTGAGTTCAAAGGAGAAACTAGATCTCTTTGTGAGTTCTAGATTTCGTCCAATTTTATTGTGTTGAGATTCGATCTTGGAAGATAAAGAGGTAAGTGGAATCATAGCAACGAAAATTCTCAGATTTTAGCTCTTCCCTTCCCTCTTGTTGCCGCCGATCCCCTTGGAGCCATCCCGGCCGCCGGCTTGCAAGGCTCAACCCGCCGGCCTGTAAAGCTCCTCCCGCTGGCCAACCCTCCACCCTGCAGCCCGCCGGCCTCCTGCAAGATCCCTAGCCGCCGACCACCCATGAGTCCCTACCGCCGGCCCCTCTCTCCCTCCTCCAATTTTGAATTTCCCTCATTAATGACTTGCCTAATTAAGTCAAATTAAATTAGGAAATTAATCAAGGGGAGTTACAATCTTTTGAAATCCAAATTCCCTCCTAATTTTAATTCAAATTAGGGAGTTACATGAGGCAACTAATTCAGATTTTGATTAATTACTAGTGGTCCCCACCTACTTAAATCTCAAGCCTCTCCCCTCTCCACATGGCCGGCCACTCATCCCTCTCTCTCATTAATTCTAGCCATTATTACTCCCTTAATAACTCCTCAAATTAAGCCCCATTCAAATTCAAATTGAGCCTATTTTTCCCTCCAATCCATTTTAATTGAGAATTAATGACAAGGCAAGCAATTAAACCACCACCTCCTCCTCTCTCTCCCTCCTAATGCCGCCGGCCAGCCCCTTCCCCTTTTCTCCTTGGCCACCCCTCTTTTTCTTCAAGATTTCTCCCCGTTGGAGAGCTCCTAACTGCTGTCCAAGGATTACAGCAGGTTAACCTTGCTGTCCTGCATTCCCAAGAGACTTTCCTTGCAGCCCAGAGTTTCGTCAATCACCAAATGGCTGTCCAGAAAACCCCAAACGTCCACAACAGCTGTCCAAAGGTGTCCCTAGGCCTTGTAGGTGGCTGTCCTGAACTGTTCGGAGAGCTTAAAGCTGCTGTCCAGTTATATACATAGTCCCTTGTAGCTGTCTCGCCACTCCGGAGTTCCATATTGCTGTCTAACAACATCCAAAAGGCTCGTGGCTGCTGTACCCTTTTGTTTCAACCTTCCAACAACTTACCCGGAGCTCGCATCTCTCTTTTCTTTGGGTAAACTCTTCCCCCGACTCTTTTATCTTCGAAGTTGCTTCTCAATTGTGGTCTTAGTAGACTCATGAAGCTTATGTTAATCTCTTCTCCGCTAAAGCCTAGTAATTATAAGAGTTGTGTGAGGGAACTTTCTTAGACTAATCTTATTGTTAGTATTGGAATTTATTGTTGGAACTATCCATGTATGCAATGTCGGATTAAGCTGGCTATCTTTTGAACTTAACTTCTATTCATGTGAATTAACCTAAGCTTGTTTTATCACCTTATTGTTTATTTTGCCGTTTAAATCCATAATGAGTATAATTATTGCTGCTCATAAAGTTAAGCGTGCAAGCTCTTACTTCAAACCAATTTTCGCATGATTGTTTCACATCACATGATGTGTACATGAGAAGGCACAAAGCCCATTATTAGCTAAGGTAATCTAAAATTGACCTCTTCAGTAAGCTTCCACATGTTTATAAGGTCCTCTTATACAATGCAAACCATTTTGGAAACAAGAATCCTCTGGTTATTTTAGGTTGACTACTTTAGTTGACTACATAGACCTAAATCCAAAACAACCTGAAATGATGAGAAACATTTGAACCTTGATTGGGTTCATCAACTCTAAGCTAATGATTTTTTTTTCACCCTAAATAAATTCATTGCTATTAAGAAGAAATTGATATAGAGCATGCTGATTAGTTTTAATCAAAAGATCTCTCTCTCAATCAAGATAAGTAATTAATCATAAGAATTTGGGCTTATGACAATGGACCAAATCATTAAGTCCTACTTAGAGGGATAAATTTCAATGTAGTGCCTTATATGATATTCAATTTATCTATTAAAAATTTTGAAACTCAATAACAAAGCGGGGCACAATTTTTGAAGCCCATAATTCATGCAAGTTCCATAAAGCCATCTTCTTTAGAGTGTGTGTTTTGGAGGCTTGGGGAATGGGATAGCTGATTGTGGAGGGTTGCATCCTATTATATTAAATATCTTTATACAAGGGCATGAAAGCTCGAGGTGGGCACTAGGAAGCAGCCACATGCAGCATAGGTGTAGAGATGCACCGTGGTATTGCATGGGATCACTAGCAACAAAGGTAAGAGCGAGGGCTTCGGAACATCATGAAAGAAAAAAAGCGTGGAAGAGAAAATCGAGTGTTCTCCAATTATCTGAAAAATTAAGGACTATTTTGTATTAAGACAAAGACGGATTACTTATAAAATAATATCCATGTTCGACATAAAGCTTTAATCCAACTAGATAAACTTTCCTGGTTTTCTCTTGTAATTTTTTTTACATTTTTTTCTTATAATAGGGCCCAAAGATATGTAATCTTTTAACACTAACACATCTTGATCTTCATTCATTACCGGTCAATCAAATATATTTAAAGCCTAAAACACATGAATTAGCAATATAATGATATACCTCACAGCAAAAATAGATGCAACATAATAAAATAACTCTAAAAAAGGTATAAATGCAACATAATAAAATAACTGTAAAATAGGCATAAAATAGGAAAAGTAATAGTAAAAAAATTTTGTGAACTTGTACCTATGTTTCAAATAGAATAAAAGAAATTACCTTAACAATTAAAACTGCAAAGGATGCTGGAATAAAAGAGAATGCCATGCTCACAATTATTGATGCTGAGAAAGCGTCAAGATCCTACAAATGTTTCAAGCTTGTCAGACCCCGACCCTTAAAAAGGAATGTTATCTGAAACACATGATAAAAATTCACAACGTTCTTTCTATCAAATTTCTTACTAGCATGCACAAGTTGACCACTGGCACCAAATCTTATCATCCCAGATATAAAAAATTTAGAAGAAACATTAAATGAAGAAAAACTATATATAATATACATAATGATTTAAATAAATTATCATAAATATATTTTCTAACATTTAAAAATCATCACAAATCTTATCTTACAGCCAATACTTCAGGAGAACAGTGACAAATACATTTTAAGACAACCAATCAATGAATAAGCAAATGGGCTAGTAAAAGGAAACCTCTATCGGAAATGGAAGGAAAGGATACGAACTTGGCAAAAAATGAAAGAGATAAGAACACACACAGAGAATGCTAACTCAGCCTACTTGCACTATATCCCAGTTGTGCTAATAATAATTGCATGAAATATACTCATGCTAAAAACTTCACTAAAACATCAGAAAATTATTTCTCTGGTTCATTCTTTAAAGTTTATAAATAACATTCAATGTTATTATGGTAACGTAGAACTAGAAAGGCATTAGACCTGAATGAAAATGGTTGTACAAGAACTGCCGAAGCAAGTTGCGAGAACTAAAGACCCATAACCTCGAAACCAGCATAAAAAAATTCAAGATTCAGAAAAACGATTAAGGAACATTCGAGTATATGCCTTCATCGGAATGGATACAACATAAAAAAAGCTTACTTGAGCACAATATAAGTAGGAACAACTTTAGCAAATACTTCAATGGGCTATGTTAGTTTATTCAACAGCTGGCTTGGTGTCTTGAAATTCATTAGAATATGTTGGTCCTCTGTCAACAATTAAATTGCGCCTTAATGTTTTGGGCCATTGAGATGGGTAGATGTAAAACCCGAAAAAATGCCATTTTAGACCTCGCACGCTTTTCAAAGCGCCGCGACGAGCTTTAAGTGAAAAATTCAAGTTTGTCGAATTTCGATGGAAATAATTTTGAAAAATTCTGAACAATTTGATATATAAAACTTATAGATAATTTTGTTTAAATTAGAAATTAAAATTCATATAAGTTTCATAATACCAATAATACCCTTAGAGGTTATTATTGCTTGGAATGTTTAAGTGAGGGTAAAATGGTCAATTGCAAAATCCCTAAACCACCAAAGCTTTAAGGGACCGAATTCTATTCGGTCCCTCATTCGATCCGTGCGGCCGAAACCGAGAGGAGCGGGAAGGGAGAGGGCGGACGCACGCAAGGCGAAGGGCGGCAGCTCCAGCGACTTCTCCGGTAAGTTTTCCGGCGAAGAAAGCTAGGGAAATTGTAGAGGAGAATAAGAGGAAGATTAAGGTATGCTTTATTTATGTATTCCTCCTTTCCTCTCAAAGTTTTCTTAAAATAAAAATCTAGGGTTTGAGGGGAAACTTTGTTTTTCTTTAAGAAAATGTTTGGATTTGTTTAAGAGATGATTTTGTGCATGAGAATGATGTTTTTCTTTAAAAAAAATGTGGAGTTAGAAATTTAGGGTTTTTCCCTAAAGTTGAAATTTTAGAAAATGCTTTTACAAATTTAGTTCCTAAGAGTCCTAAGAGGGTTTCTAAGGGTATAAATTGAGTTTTTCTCACAAAATGATATTTCCATAATTTTTAATATTAATAAATCCGAAAATAATTACCTTAATGTTAATTAAAGTTTAGGTTAATAATAGATTAAAGATTTATGTTAATGACATTCGTCAATGTTAATAACATAGATTTATGATAATGATATTCATGTCATTTGATAAAAAAGAATTAAGATTCAATGTTTATTTATGTTAATGGTTTCTTTATATTAATGATTAGGAATTAAGGTTAATGTTGGGTAAGGGGAATTTTGATAAATGATTAAGCAAATTAAATTCATATGTTTGTAATTATGAAAATGAGAGTGAGTGAGAGAAAGAGAGAACTATAGTAGTTTAAAAAGAGAAGGAGAATTTTGTTTTAAGTTTAGTTTGTAGATTTTAAAATGAAAAATTGATACTTATACGTGATTAATCGTGGTGACATCGAAGGAAGAAGGACTGGCAAGAGAAATCAATTTCTAAACTTTTGTAAGTATGCACGGTTCTTTATTTCAGTAATACTTTTGTTACCCTCAAGTTATATGAAATCATTATCCTTTATTGTTGTCAAATTCTTTATTGTTGTCAAATGAATGATCATACAAATTATATGTACATTTTATGGTCTTATATGATAAAGCTTATGTTATATGGAATGAGATGATATGAATGTTATTTGAATGTTTGTATGTGCATGTTGAAATAATGGAGCTCACCCCCTGATGGTACTAGCTGGGGACGCTGTACTCGTGCACGATAAAATGGTAAAGGATATGGAAAAGGAAATGATAAAGGAGTACCTTTATGGTATTAGACGGTGGCTCATGTGACAGTTGTATTATATACGAAAAGAGAATGCTAAGTATAATGAAATGAAAAATATGGCTTCATGTTATGATATGTTTAATGTTATGTTAGTATGAAATCATTTTATGTTATGTTTATATGAAATTGACATCCAGCATATTATACAGTTGCCTTGTTTACTGTAGTTTAGAATTGTGTATTACTTACTGAGCTTTAGCTTAATGTTAGTTGTTAATATTTTCATGTAAGCTTAAATTAATCAAATGAGTAGAAGAGGCGGCAATGTTTATCGTAGGAGATGTGCTCCGGAAGAAAGGTAATTATGAATTTATTGAGTTTTATGTTTATGTGTTTTCAAAATTTGATGTTTAGAGGCTCTTTCAAATTATTATGGAGATAGATTTAGAGATTAGATAATTTTACCTACCGTCCGACCTTTGTTCCCGCCTCGCCCATGCGAGCTCACCGGGTCGGGTCTTGACAGTTGAAATAATGTCTTGCATGGCTATTCAGTTATCCTAAAATCACATGATGAGAAGCATGCTCCCTGACAAGTACTTAGTCAGATTATAATAATGCAATTACATTATAGCTATGACCCAAATCTGAATATTACCACAAAGCTAAGACTATAAATTGTGGGCTCTAAAACCTCAGTTCACCTTGTCAAAATCAAGCGATTTCGAACTGATTTTTAAAAGATGGAGTGGAAATTAGATAAGTTAATACCTAGTGATTTTTCCATCATAAAGGACTTTATGATCTAATTTGATGTTTCCTTTCGGTGCAAGCCTATATAATTATGTATTCCTCTCGATAATGAAAGGGAACTTTTGATTAAGGCTAGTCTATAGCCTTTACAATGCATTGCTTTCAGCAACAAAAATTTTAATTGAGGAGAGAGATTTACTCCTATCAGATCAAAGAAAACAATTGGGAGAATTATGGCAAACACTGAAGAGGACATCGACAGACGCTATTGACATGTGAATCGACGAAGAAATCGCATATCTACGGCCATGATTCAACGCCTCTACTTTTGATTCAGTTTTCATGATATGTTATTTAGTTATTTGTCGTTTTCCGTTTTTACCCTTTGTGGAGTTGTTTTGTTATTGTAGCCCAGAGGGCAATCTTGTACTTGTTCTTTTCATGAGTAGGGACCTATATATAGTGGTCTCATATGTTGTATTTTTTTTTTTATGAATGATCAATGAAATTTAATTTGCTTCTACTTCTTTTGTTGCATGAGAGCTAGAGAGAAGGGAGAGTGAGCTCAAGGGGAGCAAGTGCAAGGCCCACCAGTCGTTGGAAGAGTCCACGACTCGTGGTTAGTTTAACTTCATCTTCTTTGTATTCTCCTTCATCTCCTTTCCCCACTCCATCCGTCACTCCTTCCTACTCCTCCACCACTAAGATCTTAACCTACACCATCCAATCCCTCCTCAAGCTCCACAACCGGATTCACCTTATCCTTCCCCAACTGAATTCTCCTAAACCCCACCACCATGCCGCCGGCCCTAGTGGCCATCCACCATTAATGATGGTTAATGTCATCATCATCACCTCCCTAAATAATCTGCCTTGATTTTAGGAAGAGAACTACTCAATTTGAAATTCAAATTTTGAAATTTCAAATTCTTTCTTAATTTATCAAAGCCATATTTGGAAAGTTTTAAATCTCATTCAATTTAATTTTAAATTGAATCTGATTTAATTTTACTTTTCTTTTTTTTTTGAAAGCTAAATAAAGAAGCTTTTAAATTCTCACCTCTCCCTCTCCCACCTACATGCCGCCGGCCACATGTATGTCTTTCCCCATTAATCCTCGATCAATGCAATTGTTATAATTAATTTGAAATCAAATTTCAAATTAATTTCCCTCCAAATCTACTCAAATCCTGAAAATAATTTCAGGTTTGGCATAAAACCCCTCTACCTCTCTCTCCATGCCACCGGCCCCACTTTATGATCAAATTTGATGTTTCCTTTCGGTGCAAGCCTATATAATTATGTATTCCTCTCAATAATGAAAGGGAACTTTTGATTAAGGCTAGTCTATAGCCTTTACAATGCATTGCTTTCAGCAACAAAATTTTTTATTGAGGAGAGAGATTTACTCCTATCATATCAAAGAGAACAATTGGGAGAATTATGACAAACACTGAAGAGGACATCGACAGACGCTACTGACATGTGAATCGACGAAGAAATCGCAGATCTACGGCCATGATTCAACGCCTCTACTTTTGATTCAGTTTTCATGATATGTTATTTAGTTATTGTCGTTTTTCGTTTTTACCCTTGTTGACGTTTATTTTCATGTCGACCCAACCCCGATCGAGCCCGACTAGGCTCGATCATGCTCGATCGACCCAATCGATCGTCGTCGAGGCAAAATCAACTCAAATTAGACCCTGATTTTAATTTAATTAAATTTGATTAGCCCAAAGGGAAATCTTGTACTTGTTCTTTTCATGAGTAGGGACCTATATATAGTGGTCTCATATGTTGTTTTTTTTTTTATGAATGATCAATGAAATTTTATTTGCT